AAATCGGCAGAAAAATTTTATAATAGAAAAATGTTTGTTATTTTTTGGTTATTATTGCCGTTAAATTCTTTAACAAGAAACAGTATATTATTAAGTATGTAATTTAGTGGATTTATTTATTTTTTTTTTGTAAATCGAAAAAAAAAATATTTTTTTAAAGTTCCACTGTTTTTAATTTTAGTTTACTTTTATTTTATACTGACGGCAATCCTACCGACTGCGCCAGTTTTGTGTTTATATGTTTTTCAACAACAGAAAATAAAAGTCAGTTTATTAAATTTGAAGTTTTTATTTATTCCTTTAATTTTTAATCTTCCTTGTTTAACATCACAATTTATTACAATATTATATAATATTATGTAATTTATTACTATATTACAAAAAGGTAACGACTGATTTTATTCACTTATTTTATATTTAGCTTTATTTTATTTAAACATTATATTAAATATAGCTTTTTTCACTTTGAAGGAACTAACAAGACTGAATTTTTTAGTATGATAAAGAAACATCACATAGTTTAGGTTTTTATTGGAATTTGATAATTAAGCATTTTTACCTGGCGTGATTTTTACACGCGAAAAATTATAAAAGGTAAAAATGCTGGTATGCAAAATTTTATTTTAAAAGTTTCGAAAGAATTTAAAGAAAAAAAAAATATGAAATTGTTTATTTAAATTTTAGGTGGAAGTGACGGGTAGAATTACAGTTTTATTTGGTTGGATAACCGAATATATAACTTGCACACGCAGACCTACAGACCGACAGGTTGCTAAAAATAGTTTATTTACACTTCCCTACTATGGAGAATACGTTCCCATCGAAAACTCGATATGCAAAATTTGTTGCCATCACATCACCTACCTGTTGTTTACACAATACGGTCGGTAAAAAACAATTTTTAATTTTGAATTTTTAGAAATATTTAAAAAAAAAAATAAAAGTTTACAAATTAGAAATTTTTTTTTTCTAAAATTAAGTACATTAAATAATATCTTATACTGAATATATTATTAAAATTTCGAATATATTTTTATATAAATTTATAAAATTATTAAATTGTATCTGAGTGAAGATTGTCGAAAGAGATGTATATTATTGTGCCAAAGAAAGTGCAGGAAAACCAATTTTGTTTTTTTATACATGAAAACTACTGGAGAGAAAAAATTTTATTTAATTGAAAAAAAAAAGAGAAAAAAATTTTCGCTCAATTAAAATCAATTAGGGGTTTAATTTATTGTAGGTTTAATCGAATCCAATGACTTTGAGTAACTTTGTTTTGTTTTTTTTTGATTTGGTTAAACAGTTTAAAATAAATGGTCATTGGAGTAAAATTCTCATGATATATTATGAAAAACGACTACAAATGTTCCATTTACATTCTATCGTCATAAGTAGATAAGCTATGAGAGTTCTGGCTCACTTTTTCCATAAGAAATGTACAGGAGCCAAAAAAAGTACTTTTTAAGTGTTGCCGTTGTAGGCGAATGACGGTATTTGAAAGCTTTCACCAGCGTAGATGTGTTATCAATGTGGCTGTTGTGCGTAGGTAGGTGTGTGTGTGTGTGTGAATTCCTTATACATTATGCTTCATATTAGCGTAAAACAAAAACAATACAAAAAATTTTATAGTTATCAATATGTATTTGTTTTATGTGCAATGTATAATTATATAGCTATATGTTTATATATAGACAAAGTACATGTATGACTCATAATTATGTAGATTTAAAAGATGTGGTTTGATGAATATTGAAATATGAAAAATTATATTCTATATTATGTAGCTACACATGTACATACAATCTCTCACGTTTTAGATAACTCAAATAGAATTGGGTGTCAAACATAATAAATAAAAATAACAGCATAATAGGTTACAGCTAGTAATTTTTCTTATCAGTAAAAATAAAACCGAATTTATAGGTATATGGACAGAAAAATTTCTTGTATTTATACACATGTATGTATATACAACATAGAGCAATAATAAAAGCTTACTCATGTTTCACATAATATTTAATTTTACAATTTATTCTTACCGCGGTTTGTTTGTATACTTATTTAAGTAGAAATTCTGTTATGAGCAAAGAAAAAAAATTGATTATACCATATGCAACGCTTATAAATACTTTAAAGTCTTCAATGAAACTTAGAGTACCTATAAAAACTATCATATATGTATTTCTGCTATCGTATGTATGTATGAATCATAAAATAAATGTTTGAAAATGCTAAACAATGGAGTAGATCAAATTATTAAAGTAGTAGTAAAAATGGAGTAGATTCCAATCAAAACAACAGATTCTCGCTTAAACTTTTTGTGAAGATATTTCTATTAAATTTTTTATGATTTTATGAAATATAAATATGATATTTCTATATTAAATTTTCGCTTTTCTAGTATTGATTCATATATATATATATATATATATAACTATATATATAAACTGTTAGTGATTATCATACATACAGTGTACCCTTAAAATAACACCGTCACAACTGAAAATAATCAAGGTCGCCATAGAAGGAATGTTATTTAGTTAGTGAAGTTATAAATACGTAGGTAGGTATAACATAATTATGTCAACAACATTAACTGATCTGTAATAGATTGATAATCGATCACTAACCGCCTCATATATAGGGACTCTATAGGAATAAAAAAAAATGAGCAAAATAAAAAGTGAAAGCACTCGAGTAATGGAAGTCATAATTAAACATTTAAAAAAAATAAATAAAAATAGTATTTATACAAACAGCCAAGTTAATGTATTGATATAAATGTACGTGTGTATATACATAGGATGTAGATAAAATTAGTCAACTTGATAGTATTTCACATATTCTATTTATTCTTATCGTTGTTTGTATACTACATTTAAATACGAATTCTATTATGGGTAAAGAAAAATTTTGATTATACCATACGGAATGATTATATTTCAAAAGCTTTCAATGAAGTTTATACCCTGTTCACAAACCTCAATTATTAAGTTGATTATTAAGAAAATATCAACTTGAAACATCAAGTGTTCACAAGCTATTTTACTTAATATTCAAATGACAAGTTAATATTTTACAAAACAAAACAAAAAAACAACAATACAAAAAACAAAACAAAAACAAAAATAACAAAATATTCATAACAAAAACTGACATTTACGAACGGGGTTGTGTAAAAATTTTAAAGAAAATCAATTTTTTCGGTCAATACATCAATTTTTCAGAGATGAACTACTTAATATTTACTTAATAATTTCTTTATCAAGTAGCTGAGGTAATAAATTTTGACATTTTTGTTTTTGTAAAATGTATTGGAATATCAAGTAAATATTAAATTTAGTATATCATTTAATAATAACTTTTGAAAAATGTATTACTAATCAATGAAATAGATCAAGGTTAGAGAACAATTTTTGAAAAGTAAAACTTTTTATATAATAATATGTAAATTGAAAAAATTAAAATTATCATACATAAAAAAAAAAAATAAAAATATTTTGCCACAGAAGGGCGTCGAACCCAAGACAAAATAATAAAATTTTTACATGAGAAACTAGCACAAGTACGTTGAAAGTTTTATAAATGGATAGTTTATATGATCATTATTATTGTTTTCTAAAAAATATTTCGAATTATAAAAGGGATTTAAATTAAAAAAAAAATTTGTTAGGGTGCTCAAAAGGTATTATCCTTTACGGGGTGTGATATACTTATATGTATATTCATACATTATATTATTTTTACACTGTTTCTGTACGATTGGGGATCAATTATAAATGACAACAAAACAGAAAGAAAATGAAATAATTGTAAGTTTTTCTATCTCTATAAAGCAATTTTTTTAAGGAAAGCCTACTTATAGTGATCATGATCATTCGTAAATATTTCTGTGTTAATATTATTTTATCAATGAAATCGGTATAAAATTTAATAAAAAATAGTTGTAGTTCTCAAAATCACAGAATGATGTACTTTGTAGTACATACAATAATTTTTATTATTTTTATCCTACCACACGTTGTAAAGCTTTTTCAATGATATTTCAGATTTTTTTTGTTGCATTAATTATAGTTCACGTATTTTGATATTAAAACTTTACACATATGCTTAGATTATTATATATGTATATAAATATGTATATATCAGTATGACTTAGAAAGCTTTTGCATTGAAAAACATCAAATGCCGTCGGTAAAACGTTTAAAATTATGGAAAATTTTTATATAAAATTTTTTAATAATGGTTTGGACAAATGAAATAACTTTTAAATATGTAGTAAATTTCGGAAGGGCTCAAAGGTACAAATAGAAAAAGATCAACGATGTTGCTCGTCAATCATCATAAATTTCAAAATTTATTGTGTTTGTATACTTACTTGCATGTATTGGGTAGTCTTATTCTTAATTTTTTCATCATTTCAGGATAAGTCAACAATTTGAATCATGCAAATGACTAAGCAATATTAATTAATAAATATTATGTACAAGATGAATAAAAATTACTTGAATATTTTAGGTGATTTGAGGGCTCAATACTTTCTGTATATGTTCAATAAATATTAAAAATGTCAAAAACAAGCGCTTATATGTATGTATTTTATTTTTTTTTTTATTACCATTTACAAAAATCTTTGATTTTTCACATTTATTTTTTATAATACATTAAACATTATTACAGTTTTCATTAAAATAAGTAGTCAATTTAACTAATGCAATACATATAACTAAAGACTTATTAAAATTAACAATAACATGTTCACAAATATTAAATACTAAACCATATAAGAATTTGTAATCTATTTCAATATAATTTAAGATATTTCAATAATAGAATAATGACCCCACGGAAGCGTTTCATAACTATTATTTATTAAATATCTTTTATTATCATAAGGACTTAGAGCAATTTTTTTTGTGTAACCGAATTTACATTATGTTTTTCTGATAAAATAATATTTTGATTAATCGTTTTTTCCAAATTATTTCTTAAACAATCTAAGTAATCTTCAAATGTAATTTGATTTTTTTCAACATTCCGTTTGATTCCTTTTGCCTTTTTTAAATTTTCATTTCCTTCTACTCGAATAGCGTACATTTTAGATCTTAGACCTACAAACTCAGTCATAATTTTTCCATTGTTTTCATCTTTCATTAGACCCAATACTTTTTTATTTACAAGAGGAATACCCCATTTATTATCAATCGAATAGTCACTGGTATCGAAATATAAATGGCAATCTCTTCGTATAATTTCATATAAATCAGGGCAATTAATTTCATATATTAACGAATCCGTGTCAGTGTAGCAAATGGTACAGTTTTTATTGAATTGTGGAAGCATATAATCATAATGGAAATCATAAATTGTTGTTTTTGCTAAGTCTAAAATAGACATACCTACATATATTGGTTTATTACAGAAAATTTCAGTTTTGTTTAATTCTATAGCAACAAGGTTTTCATTAAATATGGTTGAAATCTTAAACTCTGGTTTGGAAATCAAGGCTTCAGCTCCATATCTTCCACCCTATTTTGTAACTAATTTTACTATACTATGATTGCGAACATTTTCCATAGTTTTACCGAAAACCGCATTATTCATTAATTTAAAAGGATTTTTTTCAAAATCATTTCTTGCTTGTGTTCGAAGCTTTGTGTTCAGATCAATGTATGATTTTAACCATGGCGATTGTTTGAATTGCAGTATTCTGTGAATCTTCAAAACTTTTAACCCGTTTTTAATTGCTTGCTTTAAATTCCGATAATGAATTATATATCTTGATTTATTGTTTAAAGTAGCAAGCAATTTTTTTTGCTTTGAATGAGGGGCAGAAATATGTTCCGGACAAAATGGTAAATCTTTGTGCAAATTATGAATTTCTTGCGGATATTCTAAGTCCACTTTCAAAAAATAACCAATTTGAGAACTATCTATAATAGACTTCACTTTAAAATTTGCCACATTATCGCACCATTTAAACTCACCTTCTGGAAGGGGCTGTGACATAGCCCATCCATACTGGTTATTAATGTCATTATACATTAAGTATTTTGAAGGTATCGAGGGGTTGTAATCAGACATATATTTGTTATTAGCTTTAGAATAGCGTTTAGTGCATTGACTTAATCCCCCACGTATACCTCGTTCAACAAACATAAGCATATCGATGTCAGTAAGAAGTTCTAAGGTAATATCTGAATATTTAAGCATACAGTCCCAAGTATACCCTGGCAACGTATAATAATGGACTGGATCCAAGCTATATGTTTGATGGCAGCTTAAACGAAATTGTTCAAAGGTATCCGCTAGGAGGAGTACATCAGTTTTGAGGTATAGATCGGAATATTCACCTAAATTTTTAATTTTAAGTGTTTGCCACACTTTTTGGGCGTGTATATAATCTTTCTCACTTATACCAGAGTTGTTTAATTTATTATAAAATTTATCAATCGAGGGCAGTCGATTTTCTAAAAATATGTCGAAATTTTCAAAATAGTCATAAGGGTAGACACCTTTTCTCTTTAGTAAATTAATTTGTTCAATATTCATATCTATAAACTCAGATTCTAAAATTGGATATGAGTTCAAATATGATGCAAGAGTATCTAAACTACAACTCATAAAACGAAAAGAATCAATAAATCGAAATTTGATTGCAAAATCTTCTATCTGTTTTGTAAAAGATATATATCGTTCCTTGTTTATTGGCAATAAATCTACCCTTCCTTGTAAATCAGTTGCTAAATTCTTTATTATAAAGTGTGAGTCATAACCACTTAAATTATGAAAAACAATTGGAATTGTGTGACTATCTTGAAAATTTAAATTACATCCCTCATGTGCTGGACCCCGGAATTTACCCGTAAGGTGACAATGGTCCCTTACTTTTTGATCAGAGTGATCAAATTTGCCTTCACAAATGTGGCAGAGTTTCGCTGATTCAAAGTCTTTGTTTTGTTCCTCAGTCAATTTATCCATAGGTAAAGGACAAAGAAATACAGTTTCCACGTCCTCAGCAAATTTTTCAAGTTCTTTAACAAACCAAGTAATGCAATTGGGGCCACGAACTGATTTATAAAACGACAACGTGGGATCATATTCACATTTTACATAATAACCTATACTACAAGGAACATGCTCTTGATATTTCTTACTATTATCACTTACTTGTTTCAGCAAACATTCCAAATCCGCATATATCACAAAAGGTATTTTTATTTTATTGTTGAAATTTTTAAATTTGAGGTATTTTTCTTCTTCTGTTGGTAGTCTTACTTTACAATTGTTGAGACTGGTACAATCTTTCAAATACGCCATTAAATTAGCTTCAGAATTAAAATAATGAAGACATCTATCGCAAAAATGTTTTTTACCATTATGCTTAGAAAGCTGTGAAGAAAGAAGTCTCGATAAATCCTTGATCCAAACAAAGTGATACTGAACCCCCACGGAACTGTGCTCGACATCATTTTGGAAATTATCATCATTATAATATATATTTTGTATTAAAAGAAGATTTACATGTTGATTTTTCTTGCTTTTTGTTAAATATGTTGAATAAACATCAAAATCCTTTTGATTTTTTTTCAGAATGTACACATTTATAGAAATATTATTTTGACTTTCAAATTTAGGAATTTGGCTCATAGTCACTGGAAACTGTATCCCCGCTAAATTCATAAGGCTTGCAGAATGAGGATATTGCGTTATACGATCAGAATTTTCATTAACAGGACAAAGTGCTGAAACAATAGCCCAAGCGAAACATGCGTTGTCATAATTTTTAACGTTGATACAAGCTTTTTTCTTAATTATCGCATGTGGCAATTTAATGTAAGACGATCCTAACATAGGAGTAAACTTGTTTACATTTATAGTTAAGTGATAAACTGTCGACAAAGCCCAACCACTATCCTTTTCTTGAAATTCTTCTAACTTTGCCAATATATTCTTTTCTATATTCTCTGAGAAAAATTCTTTAATGTTTGTATTGTTATACACAGGCTTATTTCTGGTGTTCATATACTTCGTTTCACTTAACTCTTTATCGCCACTAAATTTTTTAAATTCTGCACACAGAACCGCATTAATTTTAACAGCTTGCTCCGCTTTCAGTACATTTTGTATATGGCGGTAGAATACTTCATTGCAATTAATTAAAAAATTTAATGGTTCCTTATGTTTAAGATTAACAATCATTCCAGTTCTGATTCGGCTATTAAACGCAGATTGAACATCTACCCATTTCACACTATAGCTTAAGTAGTTTTTTCTGTTGGAGTGAGCTGCTTTGTAGCCTTCGCCTTTTTTCAATCTCATAAACTACAATTTTGTTCGGTAGCTTTTCAACATTTGGATTCCATTACCAATATGAATTTTGGCTCCTATAGTTTCAGAAGTGTTTAGCTTGGTTACCAGTACCCTTAAGTTCTTTGAGCATTCTTTAATACTCGACTCAATTATATTTGAATTATTTTTACAATTCTCAAACGCTAATTGAGCACTTTTAATAATTTCATTTACATCCATTGTTTTATCTTTTTTTTTTGTTTGTTGTTAACACACTGATAGCTATTTGTACAATAAACTATTCATGAAAGCGCTTTCAATTAAGTAGTCTTAGCGAAGGTATTACTGATAAGAAATCGAGTAATTTTAGAGACATGTCGAGACATGTTAGCTTATATTTAATTTAAGTTTAAGCGCGTATTTATTTTTTTAAAAATAGATTTTTAATTAGTAATGCTTTTCATTATCAATGACGTCATTATTTAAAGCTTACGTAAAATTATCATGTGTGTATAGGAACTCTATCAGGACGGGGTATTAAAACAAACAAAATAAAAGTGAATCATAGTATTGTTTCTATTCTGCGGTCATCATAAAACTTACTTTATAATTATATTTTTCTTTGGTTCAATCAAATGTTTAACATAATGTAATCGTATAGAAGCATAAGAAAAAAATAATATATGTATGTATATAAATTATATTTAATGTAGTATGCTATCACTTTATTTGAGAAAAAATTTATATGAGAGATAAGACGTAAGAATAGAAAACGGAAGAAAGCTGAAAATATTTTGATGAAGAATAGAAAAAGCAATGAATATGAAAATAATAAGAAGGAATTTGGAAATGTAATGGAATATGTAATTTGAATCTGTTTGGTTTGCCGAAGTTGCAAGTTAGGTGGAGTTAGGCGTCCGCCGAAGTTATTTGGTGGAATGGGGCTTATGCCAAAAGTCATGGGTCTGGGCAAGGACTTGGGGGACTGGAACAGTCGACGCCGCCGAAGTTGCTGGTTTTGCCGAAGGTGCACGGACGCCTGACGCCTGTTGCATGTGCATGGATATTGATCTGATATTGAACTGGTATTGAACTGCAACAGATCTGATCTGGTCTGTTGCCGTTGTTGATCGGATCTGTTGCTGCTGTTAATCAGATCTGTTGCAGTGCAATACCAGTTCAATATCAGATCAATATCTTCCCTCTTCCTTCCTCCTCCTTCCTCTCTCCTTTGTTCTCCTCCTTTCACCCTCTCCGTCTTCCACCTCCATCTCCTTCCCTAAAAGCTTTATAGAAGCATTACCCTTGAACTTAAATAGAATATTAGCTATCATGTTTCAATATGTTTCAAAGGCTCTGATGAAAAAATATTGGAAGTCAGCTAATTGAGCTGATTTTTGTATATGTAATCATATACATATTATGTATCATGTGTGCCGGTATGTATGTATGTATGTATGTACATATATATGTATATCAACTATAGATCAAAATATTTAAATTGTAAGGGTTTAACTTTAAAGTTTTTAATTATAGATATTATCAATAAGTATATACATATTATTATGTACATATGCTGATGTATGTATATGTATACCTATATTTGCATACATGTGCCCATATTTTAGAAAATAGTTGACTAAAAGTCTTACAGAATTTTTCATGAAATTTTTATATGTACATATATTTGTATGTTCTTGTATATGTGCCATAAGTGTTCTTATGAGTAATGAATTTTTGATAGAATAATATGTCGAATACGATATGATTCGACAAAAAATTTTGAGAGCTTTGACTTATTTTTATCTTAAATTTTTCATAAAGTTGAACTTGAAAAAAAATTTTGATGATGATAAGACCATATGATTTTCATATTTATTCTCTTATGTAGAATACTATTATGATTACTACATAATATGTTGCGAGAGTTTTGTTAAAATTTAACAAAAATTTTAAAAAGGGAATCTGAAATAGAAAAATAATAACAAAAATTTTGGTTTTTTATTTATTTATTTATTTACTTTTTTTTGACTTTATATATTATATTATTAATGATATATTATTATACATCTATCAGAATATTGTTCAATTATGAACACCAATTATTTAAAGTTGTTGTTTTCTTTTAACGAATAACAAACTCATACACAATTTCTTTGTTTTCTATCTTCTTATTTATAGCATTAATTACTTCAGATGTTTACCTGGAACCATATTGCGAAGACAAGTACGTGTAGAATCTCTTCAAATCTAAATAAATGCTTCCAATTATTTGACCATCTGGACCCCTGAATTTTAAATCTCTCATTTTAATTTTTCGATTTGATATTCTTTGTTGAGGATTAAACTTACAATTTGACGATGTTATACTTGTTTGATTATTATTCAATTATGTCAAGTTTTTTCAGCTCTGCAATAATCGAGTTGATTTCGGCATAATTATTATTATCATTACCAGCTACTTGTGATGCAATTAAAAATTTTAATCTATCAACTAATTTATTTGGATCATCCCAGTGAATAAATTGCGTTGGTGTTTCCAACGTGGAAGCTTGCATTGAAAAATTTGGTGTAGTTAAAATTCCTCCTGATTTGATATTTCCTATACTATTGTTGTTAGCTAAATCTTTAATATCCTTGTCTGGTACATCTTTTGCCAAATTTTCTGGCTTAGCTATATCAGTTGAGTATTGATGTGTGGTGTAAGTAGTTAGTTCATTTTCCAAATTTTCTTGCTTAGCTAAATCAGTTGAGTATTGACGTGTGATGGCAGTAGTTAGTTCATTAATGGATCTCACAATAGGTTTAAAAATTTTCTTCAAAGCATTTGCTTGTGTTATATTTTGAACATCTATGGCGTTATATTTTTTACGTAACTCTTTTCTAACTTTAATCAACGCATTCAAAAGTTTTTTCTTAAGTATATAAGAATTTTTTCGAGTAAAATTTGTAAATGGTGGCGAGCTCTTACGTATAATGCCATCGGGTTTTAATATTGGTCGGACATCTCTGTGAGAATTATTTTGAATATTATGTTTAGTCCTTATATGCCGTGAAAGGTTATCAGATCGGGTGAATTTTAATTGGCAAATATTGCATTGAAATAACGCTTAAGTAAAATCCTCATTTTCCGCAATTTTCCGACGTATTGAAACAGGTTTTTCTTTATCCTCATGAATTATTATTTCAGGTTGTTGTTGTTTTTTTAAAGAATTTAATTTTTTCTTTAAAATTTTTGAAACTCTTTGCGTATCGCTATGTTTCAAATCCTGAATCATATGACTTTTGTTAGAAGCTTCCTCCATACTATGTATATTTTTTTTAGAATTTCATGTGGATTTGAACATCCGCCTTCTATTAATGTTATGCAACTAATATTATTACAATTTGTTTAACCCCAATATATATACCCCCTTCCAACTCCCTCCTCCGTCCTCCTCCTCCTTCTTCCCTCTTCCTTCCTCCTCCTTCCTCTCTCCTTTGTCCTCCTCCTCCTTTCACCCTCTCCGTGTTCCACCTCCATCTCCTTTCCTAAAAGCTTTATAGAAGCATTACCCTTGAACTTAAATAGAATATTAGCTATCATGTTTCAATTTGTTTTAAAGGCTCTGATGAAAAAAGATTGGAAATCAGTTGAACTGATTTTTGTATTTATGTAATCATATACATATTATATGATTACATATGTATGTATGTATATCAACTATAGATCAAAATATTTAGATTGTAAGGGTTTAACTTTAAAGTTTTAAATTATAGATATTATCAATAAGTATAAATTATTATGTACATATGCTGATGTATGTATATATATATATATATATATATATATATATATATATATATACCTACATAACATACATATATTTGCACATATTATAGCCCCTATTTTAGAAAGTAATTGATTAAAAATCTTATAGTATTTTTCATGAAATTTTCATATGTACATATATTTGTATATGCTTATAATATATGTACAATGTACCACAAGTGTTTTTATATGTATGTAATGATTTTGTGAAAATATAGATGTTCAGTCAAATAATCAAGTATTGAAAAACAATATTAACTGATCTGTAATAGATTGATAACCGATCACTAACCGCCTCATATATTGGAACTCTATAGGAATAAAAGATCGTGTAATAACTCGTGTAGTGGAAGTCATAATTAAACATTTCTAAAAAATAAAAAATTATATAACATGTACATGTGCATATACATACATAGTATATAGTATGTAGCCAAAATTAGTCAACTTGATAGTATTTAACATATTCTACTTATTCTTATCGTAGTTTGTATACCACATTAAATACATATGGAAGGATTATATTTTAAAAGCTTTCCATGAAGCTTACTTAGAATATAAAATATTGAAAACTCTCAATCATGAATGTAACATGTAACTATATCATTTAAATAATAACTTTTGAAATGTATTACTAAACAATAAAATAGGTCAATGTTAGAGAGCAATTTTTGAAAAGTAAAACTTTTTATATAATGTTATTTTTATAATAATATGTAAATCGAAAAAAAATTAAAACTACCATAAAAAAAAATAAAAAAATATTTTACCACAGGCGGGCATCGAACCCAGGACAAAATAATAAAAATTTGTACATGAGAAACTAGCATAAGTACGTTGAAAGTTTTATAAGTGAATAGTTAATATGGTCATTATTTTTATTTTTACAAACATTTTGAATTACAAAAAGGTTTAAATTAACAAAAAAATTGTTAGGGTGCTCAAAGGTATTATCCATGGCGTGCGATATACTTATATGTATATCGCACATATAATACATTCTTACATATTCTTACATTATATATTCATACATTAGTTACACTTCTTCTGTACGATTGGGGATCAATTATTAAATGTACACACAATGATTTACTTTTTATTTTGCTTATTTTTATACAATCTAAATATTTCGGTCTATAGTTAACATACACACATACATGCATACATACACACATGATACATATGTATGTATATGGTTATAAATAGATCAGCTAAATTA